TGGGGGCAATATGCTGACTCTCTGTAAACCGCTTAGAGAGGGCTGAAAGCCCTATGAAGCGGTATATAAGTTTACTGCTATTGCTATTGCTATTACTTTATCAGATGTATCCAGAACAAAGCTTGCACATTAAAGATCAGTATTGCCCTTCAGAGTTGGAAAAACAATTTACTGGTAGCATTTGTTCTGCTTTCCTTTAACTCTTCAAATTGCAGAAAACATCCTGAATTAGAAAACGGGGACTAATAAACAGAATGGGATCTCAGGTTCTCATTTAATGTGGGCAGTAAAAAAAACCATAGCAAGTTCTTATGCAAACTCAGCTCCAAATTGAGCAGAATGTCTGTATTTGACTGTACTCTTTAATACAGTCTTTTTGACTGTACTCTTTAATACATTATGTTAAGCATGATGCAGCCTGTTTGTTGAAAGACCTACCAATGGTTTAACACAGTGTTTCTCAACCTTGGCAACTTGAAGATGTCCGGACTTCAACTTCCAGAATTCCCCAGCCAGCGAATGCTGGCTGGGGAATTCTGGGTGTTGAAGTCCGGACATCTTCAAGTTGCCAAGGTTGAGAAACACTGGTTTAACATAAAGACTTACCATTCTGTATTTATGAACATTTTTATTGTACCAATCTTAGGCATTGATAACGTACTTCATACATAAATACAATTGTTTCATAAGTCTTCACAGCTACTCTAAGAGGAGCCAATAAATAGAAAATTCCAAGAAATATACTAAAGTAGTAAGGAAGTAGATTTACGTGCATGTTATTGAGCAAAAAAAAAAAAAATTAAATCTATCCCAAGCAAATAAAGAGTACAAATACGGAAATGAAAGGTCAGGCAAAATAGATTTTCTTACACAGTTACGAAAGTAGAGCCAAACAGGATGCTCAGACAATAAAATTTATATATATATTCTGAAAAGACTTACACTAGGTACTCAATGATAGTTTAAATATTCATCAGAGGGAGCAAGATAAAGAACCCAGCAACATTATGACATAACAATGTACACATCATTTTACTAGGAATGCCTGTGCACATAGAATCAAAGTAATAAAGATGGTTCACACATTAATTTAGCAGTCAAAAGCAGTTAATGTATAAGGTTAAACTATACATCACATTCAGAAAGAATATCTTCAATTGGAATGGTAGTTAAGTGAGGCACTGCAGACTAAAGAGTTAAAATGACTATTAGCAAAACTACCATGTTTCAGATACTTATTAGGAATGTTCTGAAAAGGGGGAAAATTCTTATTTTAAGTATTTGAGTAAAAATACATATATTTA